CCCCCAAAACCCCAAAACCCCATTTTCATTTTCTTACGATCATTAAAGGTAAACATAAATATTCAATAAAAAGTTTATAAATAATAATAACGCTTTATAATGGATTTAAAGTCAAATCTTAAGGAGCCTTTACTCTAACCATAAAATAATGTAAATATCACGCATGAATAATAGAAGAAAACCTAAATGCTGCAACCTCAGAAAACTATTCTGGTCAAACTTACCTTGATAACAGTATTCTTGTCTGGAATCTAGAATTTCATTTATGCACTTATTGAAAACTAAGATGTGGCTGTAGCTTGTTTATCATTTACTGGGTTTTTATTTGTGGTTCTGGTGATTAGGATTTATGAATTAATCTTGAAGCCTGAGGTTAATGTGAGAGTTATAGCAAATTAATTCTTTGGTAGAATGAGTAGCTCTGCATTGCTTTTGCATAACTTATTTCGTTCAGCCACATTCTTTTTGCTTATTTGGCTTTTACTTATAGTCGCTGATTATTGTATTAAATCAGGCTTGAATATTGGAGTGACATTAGCTATTTTATCTCTAGCGACTATATTTAGTACTATTCATGGAAGAATATTCTACAATGAAAAGCTGACTCTAAGAAAACTTATAGGAATCATAATGATCATACTGGGAATATGCGGCATTTCATTATATAAGGAGAACTTATAACAATAATAAGGAGCGTCGAGTCTTTAATTAATTAGTGATGAGGATTAACTTTATTATAAAATCATGGCTATTATATACACAGTAGTTTGTGCACTTTTATACTACATTAGAGGAGTTTAGGCTAAAAATTTGGGCATAAAAGGCTATTCAGCTTTTGACTTTTCTCTTGATAGTGGACTAATTTCTGGAATTGTTTGTATGTTCTTCAGTCTCTACTATTTTGCTATTGACCACCCTTTTTACACTCTAAAGAATATACTACTAAGTTTTGCACTGAGTGTGCTTATAATGGTTAATTCACTCACTGGATTAACGGCAATGGTTAAAGGACCTATGGGTTTAACTTAAGGAATTATCTAGAGTAATGTAGCTTTTACTACTGTGCTTGGAGCTCTTTTCCTCGGATAAATACCTTCCTATATTCAAATCGCTGCTCTTGCTTTGATTATCTCAGGTGTCATAACTACTTTGAAAAATTGAATGGCAATTTAGATATTAAATTAGTTTGAATAATCATTTGAAAGTTCAATTATATAAGTAAAACAATATTAATTTTGATCATTCAGAATGGCTTTACTTAATGCCGGGGTTTTGGGGTTTTGGGGTTTTGGGG